ACACCACTGGTCCTATAGGGGTCATCCGTCCTGGATTCCCTTTATTTTCAGTTCCTATCTGTACCAGTGTACCTCCTCTGGTCTAGCCAGTCTTGCAAGATAGAATTCGAGTCATGGTAGTGGGAGCAGGGAGGAAACCTTTAGGAACTAGAGGAAAGTTGTATTTCTCATCAGTGGGCTCTCTTATTACTCTCTTGGTGAATTCTTATGATATACACAGGTGTTTTATCTCCAGTATATCCCATTTGTCAATTTGTGCCTCCTATGTGTTGGTGGCCTATTCCCTGTGCCACAGTTCTCAAGTTGGTCCCAATTCCCTCATTGATGGCCCTAATAGTCTGAGGTTTAACTTCAAGGTCTGTTATCCACCTTGAGCTTATTCTTGTGCGAGGAGTGAGATAAGGGTCTTGCTTCATTTTTCTGCAGGTAATTATCCATTTTTTCCAGCACCACTTGTTAAAAAGGGCATCTGCTTCCCATTTGATATTTTTGGGGCCCTTATCAAAGATCCGTTGTCTGTATGCTGATGATTTTATTTCTGGGTTTTCAGTTCTTTTCCATTGGTCTGAGTATCTGTCTTTTTACCAATACCATGCGGTTTTGACAACTGTGTCTGTACAGTATGTGCTAAAGTCAGGTAAAGCAATCCCTCCCACTGTGTCCTTCTTTTTGATGAGTTCTCTGCTAATTCTGGGCTTCTTCCCTCTCCATATGAAGTTGGTAACCAGCTTTTCCATTTCTTTGAAGAAAGATGAGGGTAATTGTATTGCACACCCAAAATATTTTATCCTATTTTTATGTTCTCTATGTGAAACGTATTCCCACTTCTATTTCTTCACATTCAATTACCACCTCTTTTTCTTTTCCTATATTCTAAATATCTGCAGGTGTATTTTCTTCCTGTCTATCTCTTTTCAGAACACCAAGAAGACCCAGTTTTCTTTTAAAGGCTAATGCTTCTCTTTATCTGTGTCCTTGATTCTCTTAAAGACCACTTTTGCTGAGCCTTATTCTATCTTTCTGTTATAATCACATTCATCATCATCCTTTCAAAATACAGAAATGATTGTTTATTGAAGGCCTACTATTTGCCATACTGAAGACAAACTCACCATGTGCCACCCCTTTCCATTTTGCGTCACCCCTTTCTATCATGCACCACCCCTTTTCATTTTGTTCCTCTAACTCAATGGCGCTCAACCTTCTCATGCCGCGACCCTTTCATACAGTTCTGCATGTTGTGGTGACCCCCAACCATAACATTATTTTCATTGCTAATTCATAACTGTAATTCTGCTACTGTTATGAATCAGGCACCCCCTGTGAAAGGGTCATTCGACCCCCAAGGGGGTCATGACCCACAGGTTGAGAACCGCTGCTCTCATCCCTTATCTGGACTGCCATATCACAGGTATGTTTCCTCCTGTTGCCTTGAGTTTTTTAGGCTCACAACCACTCTCGCATCTCTTTTTTCCCCCTATTCCAGGTGCACTTGTGACTCTGTGCTAATAGATCTGTGTTCACTGAGCTCCCATTATCCCACATCACCCTGTTGTCTCACCCTGACTTGGCGCACTGCCATGTGGCCTGTTCCGCGTGGCCAGACGAATCTTTCCATTTTGAGTTGATGATTTCTCTACTCAGAAACCTTCAGTAGCAGTGGACAATCCGTAACTGTCATTCTCCTGGTGTATAATGTGCCCTACCTTTTTACCTGTTGCTCTATATTTACAGGTCAAGCTCTAGTGCCATTGTATTTCTGACCTTTAACTTCCCGGACTCTTCTGGCCTTCTCAGCCAAGGGGTTTCCATTTGGGATGTCCCATCTCCGGAGCTGTTACACTCTTGTCCCATCTCTGAGACCTCACTCCCATGCTTTGATCCCACAAACGTTTATCTTTTCTTACTAACCGGCAGGAATGTGCTCCTCTGAAATTCTATCACACTCAGCCATGTGGTACTCAGCGTATGTGTTGGTCTCACCTCTGCTGCTGCACCTGTGCATCACTGCTGGATTATAGGGAGTGCGTACATGACTCCACTGGTTCCACGTCCTGGGCGTGGTTGGCCAGGTTTCTCGTCTTCTTGAGCTATGGTTTCCTTATCTGGGGAATGTAATGTTTTGTTTGGGGATTGTAGGGAATATAAATGCAATGAAATATGTAAAAATCCCTGGCACGATGCTTAATTAAGATTAAGTCCTGAGTGCATGATAATATTTCTTCTTTAAGTGATACGTGCTTTCTCTGCATTTATACCACCAAAAATCAAACCTACAGCCACCCAGTCCATTGTGGCTCATGGGGACGCGATAGGACAAAGTAGAACTGCCCTTTCAGATTTCCAAGACAATAAATCTTTAAAGGAGCATGCAGCCACCTCTTTGACCTTGGAGCGCTGGTGAGTTCAACTGCAGCTCATTGCATAATCCATTCTACTACTAGGGTGACTTTATGACTCCATAGTATGCACAAAAGCCCAAACCAAACTCACGCCTCTCAAGTCAGTCTGACCCATAGCGACCCTATAGAACAGAGCCGAGCTACTCCTCAGGGCCTCCGAGGCATTTAATCGTTACAGGAGCAGACAGTCTCATCCTCTCTCCTAGAGCGGCTGGTGGGTTGCTAACTTTTCGGGTAACAGCCAGTGCAGATCCCATTGTGCCACCAGAGTTCTCTGCATGATACAGATACAGATACATATAGTATGACATGAAGACATATGTGATTAAAAGCCGGCTCAATAAATGAGCCGCAAACTAGCCTTGTCCCTACCCTTGTGTCACTTAAAACTTACAAAATAAAGATAAAGGAAAGTAATAAATTGGCAGATGCTGCAGACAGACTGAAGAGCCAGTGGACACTAATTTCAGGTTGCTCTAAGTTTTGCTCATGGAAAGTATCATTTCAGTGGAGGACATGTGCCCATAGGGACACTGTTCAGTTGCTATCGTGTTGGCCCATAAGGCTCACTTTCAGCAGGAGATTGCTAGGTCTGGGCCCTGAGGCACCTCTGGATAAGCTTGAAGCGTAAATAGTTGGGCTACTAGCTGAGTTGCTTATTGTTCGTGCCACCCAGGGACTCCCCATGCCCACCAGGTCATGGAGTGCTATATCAGGAAGCACAAGGAGATGCTAGACCCATATGGTCTATTTTCTAGAGACTTTATGTTTATTAAAATATTTGAGGGGATATGTAATTATTTTTGAGTAAATTTAAACGGCACGAATGGCATCTTTATGCTAGAAAAATATAAAAGCAAGTTTCGTGTGAATTTCAAAAACAAAATACAGCATGACATCCACCTCTTCTCCATGAACCACGATCATGTTCCAAGGTCAGACGTTGAAAGCATGAGGCCTTCTCGACCTTTCATGGAATGCACCAGAGAAGAATTCCCTTTGCCCTCCCCAGTGCTGGTACTGAAGCTCATGAGGCAAAACGGATTCAAAGGCAGTAGGTTTGGGCTTTATTCATATATGATGGTGCTGTTGGGTAAATGTTGGATTGCTAATGGCAAGGTTGGTGGTTCAAACCCTCCAGCCGCTCCTGGAGAGAAAGATTTGGCTCTGGGTTCCAGTAAAGAGTCATAGCACCAGAAACCTGATATAGGGTCGCTATGAATCGGGGTCCACACAATGGCAGTGGGCTTGGTTTTGTTGCAACTCCTTGGTTGGGAGCTGTTGCAGCAATCTCACGAGCAGTAGTAATGGATCCAACCAGAGTCATGCCAGTGGATGTGGTGAGAGAAGTGCTTATATCCTGGATACCGTTTGAAGGTAGAGCCAATGTTTTTAAACCCGATTGGATGTGGTATGTGAAAGAGAGTATTCAAGGGTGACTCCTAAGTTTGGGTTTGAGCATCTGGAAGGATGAGTTGCCATCAAATGAGACAGGGGACCTGTGGCTGGAGCAGATTTGCGGAAGAGAATCAGAGTTTATTTGGGGCCTGCTGAGCTGATGACAGGTCAAATAAGATGAAGCGTAGACCCAAGCCAGCTACAATTTGTGGCCTTTTCTTTAAAATTGTCCAGTAATATCAGTTAAAAGGGCATTCCTTGTTGGAACAGATTTCTTACTTGTCATGCTTTGTATCTTATTATTTAAAGAACCCACCTCATACTTGAGTGAGCTTTTTAAAATATATATACTTAAGAAAAGAGTAGCCAGAATTGGAATTCAATTTCCTGGCTGCTGCTGCTTTAGTATCAGAACTACAAAACCCGACGGGATCCCAACATCCCATTTAACTTGGCAATCGAATTCATTTTTCCAGAAATGTTTTCCTTCATCTCCGTTCATTTCCTTTCATCCACTCCTCAACCTTTGAGAGAAAAGATGCTCCCTGTCCAGATCCTCTCTCCAGCATCCTTCCAGGGGTTGGAAATACACGCAGAAACTTGAGCAGACTGGCCCCTCCCCAAAATGCCTGGCCCACAGATGTCTCAAAGGCTGGCTGAGCGCTCAGTGGGAGCCCTCGTTGCCCTCCCCGTGCAGATCGCTGTCTTCGTCGCCTGCCCTTTCCTGATTGCAAGTGGTCTTGAAGAGACGACCCTTTGGCTGCCTTCACCCTTCGCACCCACATCCCTGAAGAAAATGGCGGGAGGGGAATGGCATTCTTTGTTCTTTCCTGATTAGAGAGAATGCTTTTCCTTGCTTTCATGTTTACTTCTGAATCCTAGGTTTGCTGTCCAGGAAAATGTAGCCAATTTGATATAGCTATATTTTAAATTATCTGCAAATTTCCCATCTGTAATAAGACTGCGTGTTTCCAAATATCCATGGGTGGGGGGGTGGGATATGACTTGGAAAGAAAGCTATCAACTTTGGCCCCTTTTCTGAAGGTCAGATGTGCTGTGTTGCTTTTATTCAGAACATTGTAAATTGGCGCACTCCTGCAGAAAGTGTTTTCACTATCATTATTGTGTTTTGTTTTATCCTGAGAAGGAAATGCTGATTAAATGACAGGTGACGTATATTCTGTTTCCCGTGTTCTGCAGGACTCGAGAGGGACAAGTTTGACAATAAAACAGTTTCCTTTGAGGAGCACATTAAGTCGGAGCACAGTATGTGGCATTATCTGTACTTCATCGTTCTGGTGAAAGTTAAGGACCCCACTGAATACACTGGACCTGAAAGTTACGTGGCTCAAATGATTGTGGTGAGTAATTGGAGGGCCTCATCTGTGCCTACATTGCATTTTGGATGTTTCTCCCTTCTCTACTCTAACTCCTCCTCAAAAATACAAAGGTTCTAGGAATGGACTTTTAAATAGAGCTGACCACCACTGAAGAACCTGAGAGGGGTGAAGTCCATGGCTCCTAGTAGATTGCTTGGTTAAAGGAATCTCAACACCTGTCACCTCCTGTGCAATGAGTAGCATGCTTTTAGTATCTCTGTCGTCTTCTGACTGCAGGCCTCTTGTAATTGCTGATGTTCCAAATCCACAAATATGAAACCTATCATCAAACATGAGCAAAAGATGTACAGTTGGAGAAAGTCTTTGGATTAAAAAGATCAAGAGTTTAAGCAGTAAACACTTGTGCTTTGGAACAGTTTAATGTTTAGTCCTGATGAGAGAGCACTGGTTCCCTGTCCATATTCACTTGAGATTGATTTACCATTATTGGTGATGGATTTGTATTGATCCAGCTGCTTCAGTTGCTTATAGTTTCTCATTATGATCAGTAGACTTGCTTAGAGAATGTAATCGTTCCATGATTTGAAGTATCTTCTGTGTCGTAGAAGATGAAAAGTAACTGGCCTAAAAAGAAGGCATGGGTGCAACTTTGTCAGATTGAGATATACATTTCATAACACAGATAGCATTTGATTCTACGGATTCCATGTTGACCGTAAGCCTAGAGTTCCTGGGTGATCACAGAGTTAATGCCCTTAGCTGCTAACCAAAAGAAAGGAGGTTCTAGTTCACATAGAGTTGCCTCAAACAAAGGACTTGAGCCCTATTTCCAAAAATATAAGCCCTTGACCATCTTAGGGAACAGCGTTCTGCCCTGGCAGACACGGACTCACTGAGTTGGTGTCCACTTGAAAACAAATGAGTGTCAACAGAGCTGTACACCGCAGTTTTCTGTCTGAGAAATCATCCCACCAAATTGGGTTCATTCTTTGAGTAGGAGGCTTTCGAAGAACATGATCCTCTTTGCTACCTGGTCTTGACGGGAGCCTTTGGTAAGCACCTCTGTTGCAGGGCACTGAAGTGTCAGGAGAGATGGATAATAGTGACTCTCTGTCCGTCCCTCTAGGAGCTGCTTAGGGAGGCATACATTACAACACAGAGTGGAAGATGGGCCAGCATTGTCTGAGGTCTGCGCCTGGTAATTGGGAGGAAGATGTTTTATTGGGCTTAGAAAGTAAATAATGTCAGAGCAGACTTTGAAGTTTATCTTGAAGTGATACTGGAAGGCCAAGAGTGTTGGGTTAGAAGGAACAGTTTAGTCGTCGTATAAACTTTTAAGCCCGAACGATCTGGCTTCAAACCTTGTCTCGGTCACTTACCGACGGTGTGTTTTTGACGTCTTAAATGAGCCTTTCAACCTATCTGGGCTGTGTCTCAACCCCCCAGTCTGAAACAGGGGAAATCCCACATCCGTCAAAGGGCTGGCGTGAGATCAACGAGATGATGTGCACAAAGGGGTTTTGCGCAGTGTGAGTAGTCAGTGAATTACAGCCCTGACTGTCCACAGAGAGTGGAAGTCGAAGCTATAAAATTGAGACCTGCAGGTGAAGGGAGAAAGTCTAGAAAGAAGAAAAAGCAGACAGAGGCTGGGACGCACCGACCCTCCCCCAACCCTCTTTAGGGATTTTTTAAAAAAAGAGCAGTAAAATAAATGGAAAAGAAGGCAGTGAGGAGGCAGAGAAGAGTGGGATGTGCCAAGTCAGCAAAACGAAACAAACTCCAACCAGTTGCCATCTAATGGATTGCAGCTCGCGGGGGCCCCAGGGGGCTGCAGAGGGAAGATGCTCCCCATGGCTTTCAGTCTGGTGACCCTGTCCTTCCCAGACACCTCCAAGCGGGGTCGAACCCACAACCATTTGCGTAGTCAAGCGCTTAACTGTTTGCCTCATATGGAACTCCGTGCCCCAAGCCAAAAGTTGAGCATTTCAAGATTAGAGTTCTATAGTATCAATTGCTGCTAAGAACACACAGACCTTCAAGAACAGACAGGACAAAAATCTATGGATTTTGCAATAAAGAAAACACTAGATTACTTTTTCCCATAATAGAAGGCTGCTGTAAACAGGTCTCCTTGTCATTAACCTTGAGATTAAAACCAGCATTTTACCAGTCACTTGGAGTAAAGATAGCCTGGTGGCTTAGTGAGTTAGATGCTGGACCATCAGCCATAAGGTCAGAGGTTTGAAACCACCAACGGTTCTGTGGGAGAAAGATGAAGTTTTAAACACTTGTAAAGATCTACAGTCTCAAATCCACCGGAACAGTTGTTCTCTGTCCCATCAGGCTGCTGTGAGGCAGAATGGAGCCCCTGGCAGTGGGTTGAGTTGTGCACGCAATGTTTGCTGTATCCATGGTCTCACCCACCTTTCTGCCCACCTGCTCTGTCAGAGAGCTCTCCAGAAGCAGGACAGGAGGCGTCAGAGCCCATACGGCCATTCCAACCTGAAAAGCCTCTTCCAACCAGTGCACAAGCCAGGGAGTACATCCCTTCCTGAGTTTTAATGAGTGACGTTAGCTCTGGTCTGGTGGAAACAAAACGTCAAATCTCAGGGAAGAGTGTTGATTTCCTGGAACAACCTTTTTAGAAAGCATCTAAAAGTCTGCTGATGAACACAATTCAGAAAATCTGTTACTCCAAGCTCCGTGGTAGAGATACGGCTTTGTACTCCGATCCTCCTGGATCGAAGTAAGGTGGGAGAGCACATGGAAAGTTGAAGCACATCTCACCCCGGAGAAGCTACCTTTCCAGTTTGGTGGGATCGCTTGTCGGCATTCTCCCGCTACTTTCACTCTACTTCTTAAAAATAGCTTCATACACAAAGTTGATTCCACTAAATGTTTGTCAACAGGGCTTTGGAAGAAGGTTTACACTTTTAATAATTGATGGAACTGCTATCCATATGAATTTATACAAAAGAAAATGAGTCTGTTTCTTTTTTTCAATTTTGTTTATTATTTTTTAAAATCTCAGAATTGTGCTACAATACTTAATTAAATCTTATTTGTACATTGGGATCCTTAAAAAATGTCTCTTGGTTTTGATGAAATGAGAAAAGCAAGAATATAACAAGGTTAGGGGATTGTTCCTCCTCTGTATGTTTTTTCCACCTTCAAAACTTCAACTTTTACTTTATTATCATGTCAATAAGGAATATTTATTCTAACGTCTATTTAAGCATGGATCATCCATAAAGTAATAGATGGCTTCTATATGTTAGGGTTTTATAGAATATACCTGTCCTTCTGCATCCATCTATATGACCTCACCCCTGTCTTCCTTCACTCCCCAAAGCAAGGTATTTAAATACCCACTGCCAGAGTACCTGAACTGTAGTATACGGTAGGGGAGATAGGGACAGAGCAAGGTGTTGTGCAACGGTATTTTCTTCTGACAAGCACACCCATGGTTTTTGCTAAGAAAAACAATGCTTTGAGTTCATATTTATTTGGAGCAAAAAATGAAAAGAGAAAAGGAGAGACCCTATAAAGAAGTAAAAATAATGAAAGGGCACAAGAGTATACATCCTCCACTCCATTGCTCGTAATGGCCTTCGAGCATCACGAAGCCCCTTTCTTCTCCCATTACCCAAAGGATGATGACTGAGGAGGAACAAACAAATTAGAGGTCATTGGGAAAATGCCCAGGGCTTTTAGCGGTTTCTCTTAACATTTGGGGGACATTTTCAGATTTTCAGTCTTCATTTGTACTGAGATATGTCAGGGGTGTTTGGGGCTATTTATTCCTTAATTCAACAAACAGCAGGGCTGAACGAGAGTAACCTATAAGAGCAGGTGCTGCACGCACAGAGAATGCTGATCTCCCAGGTGTCTGGGAATACTGAGGCTGCTCTGGAGATCTTGGCTAACTTCCCTCCCACCCCCCACCCCCCCACACACCACCCCCACCCCCTGCTAGATGGCCAGGGCTATTCAGGCATCATTAAAAAAAAAATTGGCAGAGAGTTGAATCTGACCCATGGCAGCCGATGTATATCAGAATAGAACTGTACTCCGTATGCCTTTCCGTGGCTAGTTTGTCTGAAGTAACTTACCAGGCCTTTCTTCCAAGGCACCTATGGAAGGACCTGAGTCTCCAGCTTTTGGATTAGCAGCTAGTGCATTAGCCATCAGCATGACCCAGGAGTCAACTCGAGATCTGGGATCATTGGGCCCAGAGAGGGCATCTCCTCCTCGTCACGCGTGGTGCCATCTAGCTCTTCCACTGCTTTGGGGCTCACTTCTAAGGAACTAAGACGTGCTTCCTGACGCTGCAGTGCTCTTGATCAATTGGGACCATTTTTTAATAATCATTTTATTGGGGGCTCTCACAGCTCTTATAACATTCCATACATCAATTGCATCAAGTATATTTGTACGTATGTTGCCATCATCATTTCTAAAACATTTTCTATGTGAGCCCTTGGTATAAGTGCCTCTTTTTTCCCCTCCCTCCCCTCATCTCCCACCCTCGAGAATCCTTAAGCAATTATAGATTGTTATTCTTATAATGTATCTTACACGCTCCATTGTCTCCCTTCACCCACATTTCGGTTATTCACCCCCTTTGGAGGTGGGGGCTATATATCCAGTTTATGATGTGTTCCCTCCTTCTCCCCATCCCCCCTCCCTGACCCTCATGATGTCAGTACTTCCACTACTATTCCTGAGGGGTTTAATCTGTCCTGAATTCCATGTGTCGAGAGCTCTTAAACAAAAACAAAAAACAAAACAAGAAAAAAAAACCCCACCAATAGATAGTTCCAGGTCCGACCCTCATGTATGTTTTCCAATCAAGTCTGATGAGGTGCCAGGCCCTGTCCCTTAAGTCAGAAGTCCAATTTCAGGATTCCTCGGGGGCTTGATTACTTTGCCCCCCTTGCTTCCCTGTTGCACTCCCTTTGTGTTTTACCCACTGTGTGTGGAGCACGCTTTCTGCAGTGTCTGCAGTGCTGTCCCCCATA